TAACTTAGGACTTGAACTCTGCACATAAAAATTGAAGAAAAATAATAACATTCAAAAAATATATATTTTAACTTGGCATGAGTTTTATTAAAATATAAGATTAATTAGTTTTTCGGTTAGAAAGATAAGAGAATAAGTAAATGATAGTACTATGACGATATATATATATATATATATATATATATATATATATATATATATATATATATATATATATATATATATATATATATATATGTATGTATTTTGGTATAACATCAATTTTAAAAACTATATCATATCACATATCATATACAAAATCTACACACAAATATATTTGACATGTACTTTATTGAAATACTTCGGAGTTATTGAGTTGAGAGGGGGTTATAACCACAATTGAAATAAAAAGGAGCCTCTTCAACTGCAGCACCCTTTATGGCCTTTATGGCCAAAACCAGCTCTTTCTTTCAACTCTGAAATTAGGGAAACATGAGATTGTGATTCATTTTGAAAATTAAATACTGACTGAGTGTATATCATCTAACACTTTGTGTGTATTGATTTAAATAAATATTTTGTTTATTATGACTAAGATCTTTTGTTATGTGGAACTGTGCACTCCTTGAATGTTAACTAAATATTTTATGTAAGCAAAACATAAAATTCCAAAAAGAACTATTAAACACTTACTTTAAAAAAAAAAAAAAATCGTCCTTACTACAAATTCTGATAGACGGGGAGGGAAAATGCCTCCTTGACCCCTCCCCCCCATGACGTAGCCAATGAAGATATACCCCCATGACGTAGCCCATGTTCAATTATATTTGTTAATATATTATTCGCAAATTATATTCATAAAAAATTTTGTAAGGCGTTTTAGGAAACTCGACTAACTTGAAGAATATATATATATTAGTGAATAAAATATATGAAGTTTATGTAAGCAAAACATAAAATTCCAAAAAGAATCTTAGTCATAATAAACAAAATCTGTAAAATTTAGATGTTCTGTTGCTGTTTCTGTAGGATATGTTTTTCGCTTGCTTCATAGTGAGAAGTTATGAGTTCTATCCTTACCATGTTCCTGGTAGTAACCCGGAGGTGAATAACAATAAAAATAAATAAAATAAAAATAACTTAATACAAATACATAAAAAATTGTTTACCCTTTTTCGTAACTTGAGACTCAAATTTATGAGAGCCAGTGTTAGTTATAATATTGTAGGAATAGCATGATACGATTATACTAATATACAAATTCGTAAAAGTAACACATTACACAAGTTATAAGAAGCTTATTAGGTAATTTCTAGTCTAGTTCCACAACAAACTAAAAAACAATCGCTCAAAACCACTCTAAAAAAGAACGAAAGTTGCATTTTTACAGGAAAATTGATATATATATATATATATATATATATATATATATATATATATATATATATATATATATATATATATATATATATATATATATATATATATATATATATATATTTATATATATTTATATATATATATATATATATATATATATATATATATATATATATATATATATATATATATATATATATATATTTAATTTATATATATATATATATATATATATATATATATATATATATATATATATATATATATATATATATATATATATATATATATATATATATATATATATATATATATATATATATATATATATAGATAGATTTAATTTTTCCAAATCCGGCCGGAACCGGATTTGCCGGATTTCTACTAACAGATCCGGCCGGAATCGAAGCCGGAGCCGGATTTCGAAAATAAACTACTGGAGCCAAAATCCTGTACATCCCTACTTGGTGCTGAAAATGGCTAACAATGTTCACTATTCAGAACACCAAGTAGGGATGTACAGGATTAAGTGACAGTTGTTTTCTGTTGCAGCGACATTTTAAAGAAAGTTCTGACAGTACGGGCTAGCATATGTTATGTTATATGTTATATGACCAAAAAAGATCAAAAAGTTTTTTTTTAATTGTTAAGTGGCTAGATGTTTAAATGTTGTTAATTGAGAAAAAAATAATTCCTTCAAATTTTAAAGCATTATTCCTATGTTAGGTAACAGCTTAATTAACTTAACATTTCAAGGGTGTCCTTATATTAAAAAAAAGTTCTTTTAAAGTAGGTCAACCTGGTACTCAAAATAATGTAGCAAAAATATTATATAAATTTCAACAATAATATTTGTTTTAATATATATATATATATATATATATATATATATATATATATATATATATATATATATATATATATATATATATATATATATATATATATATATATATATATATATATATATATATATATATATATATATATATATATATATATATATATATATATATATATATATATATATATATATATATATGAACTAATTTTTTATTCAAAACTTGTAAAAATGTACTTTTATTTTTGGTTAGCTTTTATTTAATTAAATCTAAAAGAATAGTTGTATTATCAAATGATTATTTAATTGAAATTTTTATACAATTTCACTACTTTGAAGATGATACTTTTAAATTATATTTTTTCGAAATAATTCCAACATGATACTTTTAAATTATATTTTTTCAAAATAATAGGGACCCGTTAAAAAGTAAAGTCAATTATGCTATCCCTAAAACACATTATTGTGAACTAATGTCATTTTTTGTGTATAGATAATTCATAAATAAAACTAGTTTGTTTATCAAATCCACAAAAAGCATTTGTTTTTAATTAGGAATTGTTTTTATTTATTATGATGTATGATAAGGTTTGATATTTTACATACGACGTGCATGTTTTTAGTGGAATTATCTGGACTTTCTGGAATTATCTGGTCTTAATCCAGGGTTAACATGTTTATATTTTTTATGTTGTTCATGTTGTTTTAAAAAAATTTAGCTTAAATTGATGTAAATTGTTATTTATGCCCTATAGGGCGCCTACTAGTACTAATAAATCAACTTTTTCATCGCAAGAAGTATTATTTTTCTTAATTGCAATCAGCTCAGCTAATTGTGTGCTTTTGGTCGAAATGTATATTAAATCGTAAATGTAATAGTTAAATCGTTGGTTTTCATATAAGCTTCATATGGTGTAATTCAGCTATAAAACATGGTGAATTTGTATTTATTAGTAAAAATAGGCTTTGTTAATTCAAAAAAGCATTACATTACAAATACTAGCAAACCTAGGTTTAAACAAAAAGTATGTTTAAATCTATACATTGAAAAGAAAAAAAAAATTGGGTTAACGTCCGTGTTCGTAATGACACGTTTAAAGTGGACGTTTAAGAGCTATCAAAATAACGTTTCCAGCAAACGTTCACTGTTTGTTAATTGAACGTTTAGCGAACGTTTAAGAACTGTAAATTGGAGTTCGCAAAAATTTGTTCAAATAACGTTTGCAGCGTACGTTATGCAAACCTAAACGAACGTTATGGTAGCGTTAATTTTTAGCAGGGGTGGACATTCAAGAGATATCAAAGTAAAGTTTGCAGCAAACGTTAGATCAACGTTCGTTGTTTGAACGTTCACAGCGAACATTTAAGAACTGTAAATCGGAGTTCACAAAAATTGGTTCAAAGAACGTCTGGAGCGTATGTTATTCAAACCTAAACGAACGTTATGGTAACGTTCTTAGAACGTTAATTTTTAGCTGGGTAGCTGAGTGTCAATGCCTGTTGGTAATTGTTGTTTATGTGCAGTGCCACAAGCGGGCCTAGACTGAATAATTTCAGTAAAAAAATTTATTAGAATAAAGCAAACCGAAAAATCAAAAAAATGATGAAACTATTTTAATTATTTTTGCAATCATTTTATAGTGATCCTTTTTTTAAATTTTAATCCTTTTTTTTTAAGTTTTAAAGATTTTTAAAATCTTTTTTTAAATTTTTTAAATTTTTTAAGATTTATAAAATTTTTTTTGCAGATTTTAAAATCTTATTGAAAAGGAAACATCCGAACAACTCTAAAACTAAAATCCTATTCTCTAACAACTTATGTTATCGGACAAATTTCACTTTTTATATTTTAGCGTTTGCTAATATAACTGAGATAACATATGTTAGAGATAATAGAGATAACATATGTTTCATATAACTGAGATAACATATGTTTCTTTGATTTGTAAAATACTCAAATATGAATTTTAGGTTTTCTCACAGATTTCTCACTCATGGCGAGATACATTAAATGAGGAAGTTTCCGGACACTTTCCTCAACAATTTTGATTACACTTTCCTCAAAAACTTTTAAGGCAAAAAGATAGTTTGCACTTTAATCTATAAGATTAGCAGACTTTTACCTGGTGAAACAATTAATCTATAAATAATTATTCTAATTAAATAATTTACTTCGCAAAAGTAAAGTAAGTTGAAATTGTTTTTAAAAGTATTTAACTTTTTTTTTTTGACGTAGGATCTCGCCCATAATTCGACAAATTAAATGTTTATCTGATTTAATTAATATTACTCTTAAAAATTTTGAATATTTAAATTTTTAATAAATAAATATAATGTTAAATTATAGATGGTTTTAACTTTCTAGTAAAAAAAACGTGAACTGTAATATAATGTATTTTTTTTATAAAATATTAGTATTAATAAAACCTAAATAATGACGTTATTTAACGTTGTTGCAACGTTGATGGCCTACTGGGTTCGGTTATGAAAAATAGTGAATAAAAAAAGAACAAAATGTTAATAAAAAATAACATGAAATTTCTATAGAATTAAACAAGCTTAAAAAAATGTTATCAGTGTCGATCTTACTGAAATAGGAAGATTAATAACTTAGTTTAGCTTTTTTGGGGACAAAAAAGTCAATGAAAGTAACAAAATTTAAACTTTTTTTTCAATCAATCAAAACAAATAATTCTACACTCTCAATATACTCGCGTTAAGTATTTTAAGGTGCGTACAAACAAGTAACATTTTACATTTGTCTTGTAATTCAACTTCAATAATAGTATCACCAAAAATTTTATTTTAATGTTGACGCTGCTTTTAATTTGTACGGATTTTTTTCAATCATTCGATTAAAGACGTCTGTAAATGCTTTTAACCAGAGTGCATTATTCATCGCAAACTCTGCGGCGTATTTATGACCGGCAGAATGCTTACACGTAATAAAAGGATGAAGTAAACACGATGAAGTACCGCTTTTGTCTTTTGGTTCGATTTCCCAAGAAAGTACTAGGTCAGAGTTTAACAAAATAGGATGTTGATTTGATATATTGCTTATTTGGTCGTTTGGTGTTGGAAAAAAAATCTCTTGCCATTGCTTTTTTCCGCTTTTAAGATCTACCTGAATCCATGGTACAATTTTAATGAACATATCATAGTATGAATTATCTAGCACACTTGTTGAAGCCAACTTTGTTGGATTTGAACCTAGTTTGTTGAAGATATCATTATCCCAAACACCTTGATAGCCTGAATTTTTAGAATAACATCTACCAAGAGTATGAGCTCCCAATAAAGCTACTGTATCTTTTACGTTAAAACCAAATTCATTTTTAAAGTAATTGAAAGTTTCTTTATAGCCTGATGATCCCTGAGGAAGTTTTGTAGGTTTATTTTCATTTGGAGATGTACTACAATCTTTTCTTCCAACTTTAAAATTTTTAAGACCTTGATATTTATCTTTAACATCAGCGGTAGATCTTGTTAAAGCAATAACTGCAGCTAAAGCATAAAAATCTGCTCTTGACATTTTTCCTTTGTAGCCATTGTTATACAAGTTGTCAATAGGTTGGACAATCTTATCTAAACCTGCATTATCAGGGTTAGTATATTCAATGCATCCATCACAGTGCTCTTCGCCCACACAATCGTGAAATGCAAGACGAACAGTACCTGCAATTAAAGTCAAATCCCTACCAACTCGACTTTTTTCAATTAAATTCGCTAGATCCAATTTTGCTTGTTCAAAATCTTTACGAGATGGAATAATTTGAAGTTTATTTTGAGCGATATTTAATGGAAGATTTTTCAAAATATTTGAAACTTCTAATTCTTTTAATGGTAGTATTTGAATCAAATGAACTGTACTTAAAAATATCACAGTTCCAAAATATACCAGTTTTATCATCTTTGATGATTGAAATTCGTACCAACTGCAACTAAACTTTTTTCGAATCAGAAATGTTCCGCTCTATATATACCTGTTGGGACGTCATGCTTACCAATATTTAATATTGTCAAAGTTTCATTACGGAAATACTTGTATTTCATAAAAAAACAACATTACGAAACAAAATTTTTTTAATTATTAAAACATGGATAAAGTATTGTATGTTAACAGCAATATATTATTGATATGTAATTAAAGTGACATGCAAAACAAGAAACGTAGTTAAAGGAGTTCCCGTCGAAACAAAACCTAATTAAAATGGTTCCTGCAGACATGACACGTAATTAAATTAGTTCCTGTAAATACTCAAAAGTATTCTTCAATGTCGAAACATCATCAAAATAGATTATTGACAAGGTATTTTACAAAAAATATAAAAAACTTATCGGGTATTCTTCAAAACTGCGGATTATATATTTCATTGCAGTTTCGATATTTGTTTGATTTTTTTATTTTTTTTATTTTATTTTTTTTGTTTTTATACACGGATATAATTAGATTTCCGGCGGCTTTTTCTATTGCAAAATACTGTCAATACACATTTTCTTTCCTTATATTACATCTTTGAAAGTTGACCCTTTTAATTTTTTTTAAATACTTTAAAATGTCTTTATTATTATTATTTTTATTATTGTTATTCTTGTTATTACTATTTTTGGCCCCCAAAAATAATAATAACAACCTGATTTTGGCCCCCTTAAAATTAAAAGAAAACTCTTTCTCCATTTTTTAGTTAAAACTTTCACTTGGTTTTTGCTTATTTACGAATTCAACAACATATGTTCAGAACTCATGAAATTATCAAGTTCCCAAATTTGGCGCAACATATATAAAACAGTTTTTAATTTCATTCAAAAAACCTTTGGTGGTCTAAAGTTTAGTAAAAATATTTAGAAATAAACTGAATATATTTTTAAAATTTTTATAAGTTCATGCTTAAAAAAATTTATTTTAGTTCTGTTGAACAATATCCAGACCTGTAATTAAACAAGAAATCAAAAATTTTTGTAAATCAAAAAAATTGTCTATGTAATAAAAAAAGTCTTGAAAATTATTGATTTACGGCAACCCGAAATTAATACACAGCAAAATTCAAATAAGCAAAAGTTAACAAAGATTCAAATAGGCAAAAGTTAACAAAGTTTCTTTTTTTTTTTCGTAGATATTCTTAAAATTTTTGTAGATATTCTTAAAAAAAGAAATAGTTAAAATTTAAAAATTGTGTTCTTATATTTTGTTTTATTTATTATTAAAATAACTTACCATGGAATTTTACAAAAACATTTTAAAACATAATTGACAGACAGGCATAGGGATTTAATTGATATTCAATTAAAACTGCGTCAACTAAGTTTACGAACCAATCTACAAACATTTAAAATAATTCTAAAAATACTTTAAAAAAGTAAAATAATTAATAGTATAACAAGTTGCCATGGAACCATTTACATGGTGGTCGTTGGTAAAATGAATTAAAATGTAATACAAAATGCAAGTAGCAAAGAAGAAAGCATTTATTCGACTTGCAAACTAAGTTTGTTAATACGTTTGTATGATATTGGAAGGAAGTAAAAAATAGGTAACAGGTAAAAAGGTCCAACAAAAAATCCTCCAAAAAATAAACACGTTAAAAAAATTCACTACAAAAAATCGACAATAATTAAAAATTTAAATGGGATACAATGTTCAAATAAGAAAAAAAAATCTTTATATTAAAAACAGGCGTTTTAATTTCAAACATTTCGAAACTCTTCTTAAATGATTATTTTTGTACTTCTGAAATCTTCATGACTAAGGGATCATCTGTCCCTTTATCATCTTCATAATTAAGGGATCATCTATCCTTTAATCATCTTTATGATTAAGGAATTATTTGTTCAGTAATCATCTTCATGATTAAGAGATCTTCTGTCCCTTAATCATCTTTATGATTAAAGGATCGTCTGTTCTTTAATCATCTTCGTGAGTAAGGGATAATCTGTCCCTTAATCATCTTCATGATTATCATGATTGAACAGTTATAAATACAAAGGTAAAGTCTAAAAAAACGTTAAAACAATTTTTAAAAAAATAACATTAACGTAAAAACCAACAGAAACATAGATCTCAGCGATACCTTTGTTTTTCCAATTGACTTTAACGTTTTTTTCATGACTTTAATTGTTGACGTCATTTTTTAATCTAACCTTATTTAAAGGCTATTAAATGACTCTTATAGGCTATTAAATAACTTTTTAAGTACCAGAAAACTTTTGATAATGTAGAGAATAAAATTAATTTTTTTTTTCATCTTGTTTATCTCTATAAACTTTTCTTTTTCTTTCAAAATTCCGTTTGTAAGACCACAAGTAAGACAGTATCATAAATCTGTTTGTAAGACAGTATCATAATTCAGTTAAAAATGCAAAAGTTAATGTAAATAATTGTAAGCTTCAATAGCTGCACACCTAAAACAACCTGCTACAAAACATCAAAAGTCGTTTTTTTTTTTCACGTATAACTTATAAAGTGCAAACACATTTTTTTTTTATCACATTTTTTGCCTTTTTTTATAATAAAAATTATATGTTTTTAATGGTGTCGCATAGTTTGAACTTCAAAAACATTAACATACTAAATTGATCTACAAAAAGAAACTACTAAATAGTGAAAATAAATCTACTAAATAGTGAAAATAATTTTGAGATGTTCCATTGAGGCCTAAATTGTTTTCAACCGAATAATATTCTTATTACTTTTGACCAATATATGTTTTCATTTTCGACTGATTTATTTTTTGATTGATCACAGAGATTATCATATTCAACCGACTTGAGATTATGTAATTTTCAACCGATTATAGGCGATTTTCATTTCAATATACTGATCTGTATTTTTAACGTTTTTTCTTTGCGCTTTTTTTTTTTTTTTTTTAAAAAAATACAATTAACAATAGATCAATAACAGATAAGTTTTTCATGCAGGCAGCGAACTTAAAACCTCTCATTTTTTCCAGCTCTCCAACCACTACGCCACAGCTAATTAACCAATACGCCGCAGCTGATCAACCACTACGCCGCAGCTGATCAAATTTGATTCAACAAAAAATATACAAAACACACAACGGAAAAAGTGATGTTATAAACTCGATCAAAATAACATTAGGTCAAAAATACAGTAGTGTTGAAAAAATAGCAAGTCAGAAATTTAGCAGATTGAAAACTCAGTTGATCGAAATCTCAGTAGGTTGGAAAATTAGAAGTTCATGTTTTAATTAGGTGCAAACTTGAAAAATTAAAAGTTGTCAGTTTAGGTCTTAAAACACAATTTTAGAAATTTCAAAATTAGGCTGAATTATAGGCCATCTTTATAATAAATACCAAAGACCAAACAAAGACCAAAGCTATATGAAGTTGTTAAAATAATAAACTTATCCCAATGATATATTTTGTATCATTGGGACTAGATCTTAACTTGCTGTATTTTATTGCACGAAAAATGAAGCTGCTTTTTGTTTATAAATATAGTCCGCTATATGTAAAAAGGGCAAAAGCTGAAGCTGTCGTGAGGAATAAAAGTTAAAAATGCAAGTTTAGAGCACCAAAAATTTCCAATAAGTTTAAGATAATTCAAAAACATATTGTAATAATTATAAAATACTTTTTATTATGAGCCTAAAATGTATTACAGTTCATTAAAATGCTTCAAAAACGTCGTTTGTTGTCTATCGTTACACTTTTTTTTATTAAAATTTAATCTCTTTCTAATCGGAAATGAATTTAGGAAACATAAATTATTATTTTACAAGTATTCTAATTTCCTCTTAACACTTTTACATAAACAGTATTTATATTTAAAATATTTACTTCATTTAAGAAAAAGAAAAGTTAAATAATATTTGTAAATTTAATTTGCCATTTGTAAGAAAGGCGAGGCAGGCTAGACATTTAGTTTATATGATATATCATTGACTTATACTTTAAAAAAATTTAAGGTGGAATTAGTATTTTATGTAAAGTAAAAACATTCTGAAAGAATGATGAAAATAGCAAGCACAAAGTATAGCGAATTTAAATTAGAACTATTTTTAATTATTAGGGATGCAACGATACATTTTTGATACTTAAAGTTACAAACTATTTTTTTCTAAATAAGTTAAATAGTATACTATTTAACTTATTAAAAAAAAAAAGAAGAAAAAGATAAGAGGTTAAAAAGTGAATGTTTACTCTCAGCTATTTGGTACACCAACCCAATAGTTTTATAAATTTTTGAGTATGTATAATCTAAGCCCAGGTAAACTTTTATCAGTAAGATTTCCCAAGAGTTTGACCATTTAGAATCAGATTGGGATAAAGGAGGATTTTCTTCATGTAACTTTTATGGAATAAAGTATGCTCTGTTTTATCTACATTGAGTGAATGTTTGTGTTTGCAAAGTTAACTTTAAGCCGTTTATCGATATTTCTTTTTTTAAAGAGTTCATTTAAGAATAAAGTTGCTTGATGTCATTATTTGAAAAGAATGGATTTATGTAATCAGATTTTAATTTCGTTGACGCATTGTTAAACAATATTGTATTTAGAAAAAAAGTGTTCCTAATCTACATTAATAAAATGTCATTTTTATAAATTTAAACTAGGAACATCTTTATTCAGTTTTTAATATTACATTTATATTTTTAATATTACATTTTTTTTTTTACATTCTTATAAACTTACAACTACTTCATTTCTTGTTGGTGTGTCAGTCAATACCAGAGACCTAGAACATATTCTTTTTGCACTTTTTCTCTTTGTCACCCTCTCACCCGCTTTTGGAAATGGCCTTATATCTTCTGCTGTCCAATGGTAGGCAGAAGTCCTTATTTGCTTTTTCGTGTCATTAATAACTTCTGATACAATAGATAGTGATGTATGGATCGTTTGTATTTGCGAATCAGATAATTTACTTAAAATATAAGCCTTAGTTGCAGGGTCT